CTTTTGTGATATAAATTACTGAATAATTAAAGGTGTTTGACTTAGGGATTAGTGGGTGGCTTGTACTAGCAGTTTGTAGAACAATGTTTTCAAAGACGTTTTTGAAGCGAGTCTCAAGATAAGATGTATCAAAAATATTTTGTGAGCAAATAAAAGACGTAAGTTTATAGAACATACGCCATAGAATTTGCGGTGTAAGTCTCAAACTGAAAAGCGTAAGTTTCAAACGTAAAAGTGTACGATTTGAGCGTTAAATATGATTTTCACTGTTTTAAAAGTTTTTTGCTATCAATCATATTTTTTATTATTAGTGTAATGACATTTATAATTTATATTTTCCTAAAATATAACTTATTTGAAATCTGATTTTCGAATTTTTTTTCATCCTCACAAGTCACACGTTTAGTGGATCCCCTTTTTTGCCACATCAACATTTTAGAGGGTAAACACTATCAAATAAGTAACTAAATTTAAGAATTAATTAAATTATTGATAATTTTGATACACGACTAATAATTCATATCAAATTTAAAATAGCCTTGAAAATAATTCAACTTTTTCAATTTCTGAATAATTTTTTTCAGACTATACACTCAATTTTCAATAATATAGTTATATTCTTTTTACGTTTCTTTTCTTCTTTCTTCTATTTGCAATTCCCTTCACCCCAACTCTTTCATGAATGAAACCAATAATTCATAGTTTGATTACTCATCAAATGGACATTCATTTGCAATTTCTTGCTATGTAATGTAATGATATTTCTTATATATACATTTATAAAAAGAATTTTAGGTATACCGTACACAAGTTAAAAGCAAAGGCGAAATTAGGATTTTAATTTTATAGATTTTGAATTGTACAATGAGATTCCAAATGATAATAACTGAATTCTAAATTTAATATTGTACATATTTAATGATTTTATTAACACAAATATATTATTTGAACAAAATTTAATAAATTATGTTGAATCCGTATGCAAGCTACTAGCTACACCCCTATTAAAACTCATATATGAATTCATTATTATAAGTAAATAGACTTCAAACCTAGCAACAATATACTTGTTGAATTACAATATATATATATATATAGTTATAATAGTTAAATACAGAAAATTGCCAGTTCATACAATTAAATACAAAAATATATATCAAGTTTGAGACAAGTGTAGAATCTTTTAGAAGATACTTTTCAACTGCTTGTGCACAAGGAATCTGTATTTAATGCCTACAATAATTATTATGTGCAACTTGTTTTTTTTTTCTATAAAAAGAAATATATTATTTTATTCCACTTGGTTGTAACATTAAAAAAATTGAAAAGAATTAATGAAAGCCAAATTATAATTAGGTATTTATCAAAATTCTACCAAATCTGGAGGGGACCATAACGTTGTGACTTTTCTGTGATGTTGCATGTTTTTCTTTTTTCTTGTTTGTCTTTTCCTTGCTTACGTGACTGATGTTTATACTATTCTTTTTAATTCTCTTCCTTACACGGCCAATTACTCCCTCCCTCTGTCCCTAATTATTTATCTACTTTTGAATTTACACACCTATTAAGAAAACAATTAATGACATAGTGAGTTTACCATTTTACCCCTATTAATTATGAAGTAGGATGAAAAGTTCTACATTTTCAAAGTAATTAGTCATTTAATTGAGGATATAATAGGTAAAAAAAAATTGTTCTTTCTTGATTTGTCAAAAATAGACAAGTAATTAGGAACAACTATAAAAGAAAAAATGGACAAGTAATTAGGGACAGAGGGAGTATGTATGAACACAAAAACAAAAAAAAGTCCAATAATTTTAGAAAAGTATTTTTTTATTAAAAAAAAAAAACTATTGAGGGCAGGCAAAGGCAAAGGAAAAGGGGACTAGTTTGACATTGTTGATTTACCGTTGGAGGCCAGAAATACTTATTTTGAGAAAAAAATATATTTTTATTGAAAATTAAGTGTTTGGTAAATCAGTAAATACGTTTTTAAATGGAAGCAGAAACAATTTTTCTGCGATTGGGAAGAAGCTAAAAATTTCTATTTTTTTTATGAAAAAGCAGAAACAAAAAATTATTTTTCTTAAGACTAAAATATCTTTTTCATATATATGAAATTACATATTTACCAATATATTTCTTTTGAATTAATTAGCATATTTCATAAGTTTGGTTAAATTTCATTTAAGAATTTTATTTTATATAACAAATTTTATTATTTATTTTACGTTTATATATTATTATTTTATATATTATATATTATTTTACTAATTATTTTGTAGAATTAGAAAAAAGGTAACAATATTTTTTCAAGATTAGAAAACAAATAACAATTCAAAATTTTAACCTCCCAAAAAAGGTATGATATTGATTGAAAATTAAACATGTAAATTTTAATTTTAAGAAAATAAAAATTTAATTAATTTTTTTATAATAGATAGTTCAAATAGTTTCTCTCTATAAAATAATTTAATATTATAAGTACATTAATAGTTGTCATTTTTTTGTAATTTGACTCTCAAAAGCACTTTTTAAAAAAGATTAGCCAAAAGCAAACACTTTTCAAATGAATTAGACAAACACGAATTGTTTTTTTTTTTCAAAAACACTTTTCTAAAAAGTCATTTTAATAAGTACTTCTAAAAATAAGTTATTTTAGCAGTAATGCCAAACAGGCTCTGAATCGAATTCTTACGAATTAAATGAAAATTTAAAAAGCTAACCAACTCAACAATTAAAAAATTTCATAGAGCATTATTTTCGATATTGTCATATGGGGAATAAGAAAATTACTCCGTCTCAATTTATAATATTAATTTTTCCTTTTAGTTAGTCCAAAAAAAATGTCACATTTCTATATTAAATAACAATTTAACTTTAAAATACTCATTTATATCCATACAAACATCTATTACTTATATTAGATCGCAAATTTCCAAAATCTTTATTTTTTTCTTTAACTTCATACCAAGTCAAACTAACTCATATAAAATGAGACGGAAAAAATATTTATTTTACAGAAAACTTGGCGGTCCAAGAAATGATGAAGGCAAAATAGCAATAGTAAATTTGTCACGACTCAAATTAGGAGGGAAGGTGAGTTGCACTCGATTCTGTTGGCAGCGCCACCTTTAAATAGACCATGCTATCCGCCATTTAATTAATTTAATCGAGGTTTCAGTAAAGAAAGCGTCGGTGGCTGAGCGAATCCTTTTCCCCGTCGTCTCATAGATACAAACAAATAGCTTCTCATAAAATAATAACAACGGAAAAGGGTCAATACTACCCTTTAGCTATTTGAAATAGAGCACATATACCCTTCAACTATGTTTTGGTTCAAAATTATCCTTCCTGTCTTACTATTGGATCACTTCTACCCTTCCATTTAACGGAACAAGATATGACATTAATGGAATAAAATATGACATTCAATGTGTAAATTATAATGCCACGTAGAAGTCCACCTAAGCACACCCACCCTACCCACTAAATGATTTAATCCTTCCCCTTCACTTCCACCATCAACTCTACAAACAATAATTTCTCCGGCACTATTTTGGCCCCAACGGACTTCATTTTCTCCTCCGAAATTCGCACATCCCCGCCAGACCCTTCCTCTCTTCTCCTTCGTTACCACACTCCCAAAACCCCTCTCACTTGGTTTAGCCTTTTATCCAATGTCAATGGCGTTGAGATTAGCCCAACTTTGTTCAATAACAATTGTCTTTTCTTCTTCAAAAGTTCTACTAGAAATGTATCAATTTCTTCAACAAAGAATTCAATTGGGTTTGTTAAAATCAGGATCTCACTGTTCATGGATTCGATGCTGCTACTACGTTAACCATCAAACGGCCAAAGCTGTAAAGTTTTACTTCCGTTTCCGTTTCTGTGACCTTCTAATATAGCTTTGTTCTCACAACCTGACGGTTTCTGTTACGATTACCCTCACCATATTGTTCCCCGACGGTACCGATTTGGGGATCTTGCTAGAAATGCCAAGGGTTTATGATTTTGCAGACCATTCCTCAGAACAAGACTCTAATTGTAAATTTCATCTACGACATTCTAACTATTAGCGGCATTATTGTTAATAGTACGGAGGTTTATAGAGTTGATGGTGGAAGTGAAGGGGGGAGATTGAATCATTTAGTGGGTAGGGTGAGTGGGGAGAATGAATTATAGGTGACAAAAAAGTGTTGAAATGTAAAAAGAGTGACTCTAGTTTTAATTATTAAGTGTAGGTGACAAATTTTTAATCAATTTTTTAAAAATAATTAAATAAGTCCTCAAGTTTTTGTTTTTACACTTTCACCCACATTTAAGTAAAACCCTAATTTCTAAAATAGGAAAACCCCAAATCAGTTTTTTTTTTGTTCTCTCCCAATATCCCGCTCTTTTCACATTTTTTTGCTTCTAATCTTCATCACTAGCACTTCTTCTTCTTCTTCTTCTTCTTCTTCTTCTTCTTCTTCTTCTTCTTCTTCTTCTTCTTCTTCTTCTTCTTCTTCTTCTTCTTCTTCTTCTTCTTCTTCTTCTTCTTCTTCTTCTTCTTCTTCTTCTTCTTCTTCTTCTTCTTCTTCTTCTTCTTCTTCTTCTTCTTCTTCTTCTTCTTCTTCTTCTTCTTCTTCTTCTTCTTCTTCTTCTTCTTCTTCTTCTTCTTCTTCTTCTTCTTCTTCTTCTTCTTCTTCTTCTTCTTCTTCTTCTTCTTCTTCTTCTTCTTCTTCTTCTTCTTCTTCTTCTTCTTCTTCTTCTTCTTCTTCTTCTTCTTCTTCTTCTTCTTCTTCTTCTTCTTCTTCTTCTTCTTCTTCTTCTTCTTCTTCTTCTTCTTCTTCTTCTTCTTCTTCTTCTTCTTCTTCTTCTTCTTCTTCTTCTTCTTCTTCTTCTTCTTCTTCTTCTTCTTCTTCTTCTTCTTCTTCTTCTCTCCTTTTAAGATAAATGATCAACTTAGTTTAAGTACTTATTTGGAAGATGAGCCTAGAGGTGTTTTAAGGATCTACATGGTTGAAAGATTGGTGGAGAATCATAATTTATGTGATGACCAACAAGTGTTGAACGATGAATGTGGTAGGATGAATATGAATATTCCAAATGAAGAGTGTGAAGGTCAACATATTCTTTCTCATGAAGTTCGGAATGGATTGCCCATTATTGGTGAAGTTGTTGATAGGCAAGTACTATGAACTCATAAATTTACTTATTTCTAAAAGTTCATCCTCTTTGTACACTTAATTAATTTTTGCTTTAGCTGATAATTAATTAACTTAATGCAGTCATGCTCAAGATGATGGAACAGGTTTTTGCAAAGATATGTCGTTTAAGAATAAACAAGAATTAGATATTGCATTGAAAATTGCTTGTGTCAAAAAAGATTTTAGATTGAAGAAGGTAATTAATTTGTGTTCAGTGTATTGTGTCAAACGTGAGCATCTTGAGTGCAAGTGGTGGCTAAGAGCGGTGAAAGTTGAAAATTCTGATAGATTTTATATTAAAAAGTATGAAAAGATGCATACATGTGGCTCGGAACATCTTACGAGTCATAATCCACATGCCACAGCAAAAGTCATTGGAGCATACTTCAAAGATAGATATCCCGAAGGTAAAGGTCCATCTACAAAAGATTTGAAAAACTCTATCCGTATTGAATTGGGATGCAAGGTTAGTTATTGGAAAGTTTGGATGGGTAGCGAAATTGCAAAGTTTTTGGTAAGAGGGACACATGAACATGGATATGGAGTGATTGATGCGTATAGTCATATGCTTAGGACATCTAATCCGGGAAGTAAAACGGCGTTGAAGATTGATGAAAATGGCAGGTTCAAGTACTCTTTTTGGGCATATGGAGCTTGGATTCTTGGTTTCGCACAAATGAGAAAAGTCATAGCTGTTGATGGGACATTTTTGAGAAGTAAATACGGTGGTGTGTTGTTGTCTACTGTTGCACAGGATGCGGAGAATCATATTTCTTCGGTAGCATTTTGCGTAGTAGACTCTGAATGTGATGCTTCCAACCAATACTTTTCGAGCAATTGAGAAGTTTTGTACTTGATACTCCTGAATTGTGCATAATCTCTGATAGACATCAAAGTATTAGAAAAATGGTTTCAATTGTATTTCCTTTAGCTCATTATGGTTGTTGCATGAGGCACTTAGGAGAAAATATTCGAAATAATTTTCACAATGCGAGTGTTGTCTACCACTTTTATAAGGCGGCAAAAGCATATAATATTGATGTGTTCAGTGATCATTTTAATCGGATAAGAGATTTGGTTCCACAGGCTGCCACACATCTTGAACGCGTTG